ACCCCAGTCCCCACACCGGCGCGTCCAAGAGCTTCGCCTTGCCCACGCTAACCCCCCCGCTCGGCGCCGCCCAGGGAGAAATGAAGAACGCCGGTCTGTTCGTGCGCACCATCCGGGCGTGAGGAGGACGTGGTCCAGGTATCTGCTCGGCAGGGTGAACAGCATCTTCGAGGCAAAACGTGCCCGGTCCGCAACAGTACATCTTCTACTATGACAAGTGCGTCGCCTCCGACGCCAGGCTGTCATTCTGTTCAGAACTCCGCTTATGGTTCCTTCCGTTCACTGAGTGAATGCGCGCCAATGGGACCGTATACGCCGGTTCGGTAGTACCCGGGTTTGAAAACTCAGAGTTAGCGGGTGGCCGCTCAGAAGTTAGCGGGAGATTTGCAGTTTGCTGGCGAATTATTGCACTAACTTCATACGATGCTGGGAACGGTCGTTGTCCGCCAGAGTACTGCTGGGATCTCCGGTCGGTAAATTGATTATGGCCGTGATCCATGGTATTTGGAAAGTATGTTGGGAAAGCACCCGGCCTCGTGAAGCGTGCTCACACTGGTCGAGTGCCCGACTTTTCAGCTGGCGAGACTGTAAAGGTATAAACGGAGCAGAACGAGTGCAAACGAAAACTGAGCTATTTGTCTCATACCGCGTGCACTCGGGTCAGCATGATGAGCTCCGTACACTACAGTGCAAGCTGCCAGTGCAAAGTGACGATTTCTCTTCGAAACTGTCGTTATGTGGTGCAAATGAGGAAGCAGCCTGCGGCCGTTTTGACCAGTGCCTTTCGACGCCGTGCTCAGGTACCGCGACCTGCTGACGCTCGTCTGCCGCCGAGATCACCGAGTTTATCAAGAAGGAGGAAGGACCTGATAGTACGTTCTCATGACCGGCTCCCTCCCGGCTGGGTGAACGGGCGGAACAGCTCGTGGCTGGCTCGTGATGCGGCCCACGGCGGCCTTGATGCAGGCGACGGGGCGTTGTGGGCTGGGTTACCTCGGCGTGGGGGGTCAGGTCAGGTCGCTTCGGCGATTTGGTCTGCTGGGCGTAGAGCTACCTCAGCGCCTTGCTAAACTGATTTGGTCCGGCGTGTTTCCTGTATCTACTTAAGGGTGACGTGATCACTAACAGCGTTCACGACAACAGAGGATGTGTTTCGATCGATTTGCCCAACAAAACATTGCCTCTTTCATCAGACTGTGGGGCTCCTACTCATGGATCGGTTAGTCGTCCAACAGACGATCGCGGCACATGCAGTATGTTTGTTGAACCTCAGTCCACGCGGTGCGCGGTTCTGCCCATGCATGTCCTGTGCCGTGGCGAATACGCATAGCGTAATCAGGTCTGTATTTCTTTCTTCACGAGTTTGTGATACGGACCCAGATAATCGAGGGTTCAGTGCGCCCTCGGGCACCATAACTTGGGTCCCAGGCGAGAGCAGACGGTGTCGGCTGCTTCTGCCGCCCGCCGGGGAGCGCGGTCGCAGGCCCGTCCACAGATCCGTAACAGGCCTGTCACAGGCCGTACAGACCCGTCACAGACCCTTCACAGACCGGTACAGACCAGTGACAAGCCTGTCACAGACCCGTCACGGACCTGTCACAGACCCGTCACAGGCCCGTCACAAACCCTTCACAGACCCGTCACAAACCCGTAACAGACCCGTCAAGACACTTAACAGACCCACCACAGGCGCGTAACACCGGCACGGACCCATAACACGCGAGTCCACAGACCCGTCACAGGCCCGTACAGACCGGTCACAGACCCTTCACAGACCCGGCACAGGCCCGTCACAGGCCTGTCACAGACCCGTCACGGACCCGTCGCAAACCCGTCACAGGTCCGTCACAAACCCTTCACAGACCCGTCACAGACCCGTCACGGACGCTTAACAGACCCGTCACAGGCGCGTCACAGACCCGGCACAGACCCATGACACACGAGTCCACAGAATCGTTCCAGACCTGTCACAGACCGGTGTGGTGCGTGCTGCAGATCTTCAGGAGGAAGCTGGACGCGCTGTCGATCCGACACGAGGAGGTGCAGCTGCTGCCCACCATCATCCCGCTGCAGGTCAGCGCTGGGCTCAAGACCCGTCGACCAATCATCAGCGTCAGATGATCCCACGCCGCCAGTGCTCCGCCGTCATCGCGATAGGAGGCAGTGCCTAGAAGAACAGCTGTGATCAGGGTGTGGGTCTGTGTATGTGTATGTGTGTGTGAGTGGGCGGGGGAGGGGGGTTGATGCGTGCGCTCCCGGTGAAAGCTCACCACCCTGCTGTGCGCTGTTTGTGGGGAGGGGGGATGATGCGTGCGCTCCCGGTAGGGACTCGCCATCCTGCTGTGCGCTGTTTGTGGGGAGGGGGGATGATGCGTGCGCTCCGGTAGGGACTCGCCACCCTGCTGTGCGCTGTTTGTGGGGAGGGGGATGATGCGTGCCCTCCCGGTAGGGACTCGCCACCCTGCTGTGCGCTGTTTGTGGGGAGGGGGATGATGCGTGCCCTCCCGGTAAGGACTCGCCATCCTGCTGTGCGCTGTTCGCGGCGTGATCGCCGAACGCACGGGGTCCCAACTCGCCCTTCTACTGCCCAGATGTTCCTGGTAAACTGCGACCGCGTGAACGCCACCATTGTGGAGAAGTCGGCGGAGCTGTACGACAGGGTGGTGCAGCGACAGGTCACGCTCAACCGAGAGGAGAACACAGAGTGAGCGCTGTCCAGGGGGCGCACAGACCGCCGGACAGCAGCGCCCGCGGTTGCCAGGGTTACCGGCCAGTGCTCGTGGTCATGAGTAACACGAGGAGGTCCGCGTGGGGCAGTTCACCTTTCGCCGTTCTGCGCACGTCTCTGCGAGATGTTGGGAGCAGCAGCGGATAAAAACAGATGCGTGGGGACGAAACTCCGCTAGTCTTGTGATAAATCGCACAAACTAGGCGTGTTTATGCTTTTCATGACGATCTGCCGATCTTTGGTTGGGGGTTTTCTTTGACACAGTTTTGGCACAGTTTGGCACCCAGCCAAACCGACCGGCCAGCGCTGGTACGTTCCGTCCGGCAGGATCTGCGGCATGTTCGACCAGATGTAGGACCGGCTGAGCCAGAGTGGCGGAGACGACGGCCGAGCTGGTGGATCAGTACAAACTACTGCAGATCTGCATGTCGGACACCATGGCCGAGATACGCATGCGCATCCGACAGACGGCACTGCGCATCCTTCCTCATGGACTACGTGGTCCTGCCACGTGAGCACTGCCGGTCCCGTGGGCGGCGCGGTCCTGTCCGTGGGGAGCGCGTGCGTGAGAACTGTGTGGTCTTTAGCGCGGGGAGGACAAGTGTCTCATGGTCCGGAAGTGTTCTGTGCAGACCTCAGTCGCTCGTCAAGGACTGTAGTTCTGCGGTCGGGTGCTCCAGTCTGTTCTCGTGTACTGTGGTGCTACTGTAGTCCGTGAGAACACGAGTCGTTCTTGTGATAGACTCTGCCGTGCAACGACTTTTTACAGTGTTCCATGATACCCAGTGGTTATTCCGTAATTCTCAACATGATTGCTACCTTATCGTAGTATCATAATTGACCTGACCACTCGTTGCACCTGACCTCCCAACCTGGTCCAGACTTACGCTCTGAGCCCCCTCCTGACCTCACATCTGACGCGACCTCCCTGTGACCTAACGTCCCGTCTGACCTCTCACCCGGTATCACCTTCACTCCTGACCTGCCTCTGACCTCCCGTGACCTCTCGCCCCGTCTGACCTCTCACCCGGTATCACCTTCACCCCTGACCTGCCTCTGACCTCCCGTGACCTCTCGTCCCGTCTGACCTCTCACCCGGTGTCACCTTCACCCCCGACCTGCCTCTGACCCCGCCTCGGTCGCAGCTGATGACCTGGCGCTGAACGCCCGCGTCTTCCACTGGCCGGAGAACATCGAGGCCGTGTTCGACCTGTCTCACTCGCGGCTCAGGCACCGGCGCGCCGCCGCCGAAGAGGCCCTCGGCACGCGCCTCGAGTCGTTCGCCGAAAAGTAGGCGTCGGCGTGGTGACCGCACGTCACACGCATCGCAGAGATTTGTTTCTAAAAAGTATTTTTGGAATGAGCTGGAGGTAGTTCTGCCGTGGAGTGCATGCATGTGTCAGGAAATACCTCCCAGCAGGCCTTGCCAAATGTGGTGTGCTGACGTAGCCTGTAAGGTTTTAACAGCAGTATTTTGCCGCGACTTAGGCTTCAGCTTCCGTTCGGTGAATAAATGGAAAAGTGCGTTTTTTTAAAGACATCGTTCATTGGTTTCATCTCATTCCACCAGCATGTCAGAAAGAAAGAAGATACTGCTGCACTCAGCTACCATATTAAACACGCTTGAAAACAGATTCGGAACAGCTTTTAATTTTATCATTGACGAATGACAATTTTTTTATTTTAGAAATGGCCTGTGCAATCCTCGGTGTTAGTAACAAAGACGCAGAGGCACTGATGCAGAATGCATTGCTGTCCTCTGTGTGCAGGAAGTGCATTACATGTTTATTTCCGGCTGGTGTCATACTTTGCATTGTTCCGAAGGGTGTATGATTCTTACGTCCTCATCCTATCCCGATCGTGACATTTTTGCTGAAGCTTGACACACGTGACTTGTGGCCAGCCCTGATGTGCTGCGAAATGCGTCTCACATGCGGCGTTGCTCCGCGGCAGACTGGACGAGTACAACAAGGCGCTGGAGGCTTTCAAGAAGAAGGACTCGCCCGTACTGAACATGGAGGAGATGAAGTCGAACGTCGACACGCTGAACTGGCTGGGCGAGGCGCTGGCCGACGCCAAACAGGAGCTGTTTGTAAGCTGCGCTGTCTGAGCTGGCTTCCCCTTTGACCTGACGAGCTGACCTGGAGACTGGGCTGGTTTGTAAGCTACGCTGTCTGACCTAGCCTTCCCTCTGACCTGACGGGCTGACCTCCTCCGGACAGGGCTGGTTTGTGAGATACGCTGTCTGACGTTGCCTTCCCTCTGACCTGATGAGCCGACCTCCTCCGGATAAGGCCGGCTTGCGAGCTACGCTGTCTGACCTAGCCTTCCCTCTGACCTGACGGGCCGACCTCCTCCGGACAGGGCTGGCTTGTGACCGACGCCGTCTGACCTAGCCTTCCCTCTGACCTGACGGACCGACCTCCTCCGGACAGGGCTGGCTTGTGAGCTACGCTGTCTGACGTTGCCTTCCCTCTGACCTGACGGGCTGACCTCCTCCGGACAGGGCTGGCTTGTGAGCTACGCTGTCTGACGTTGCCTTTGCTCTGAACTGACGGACTGGACCTTTGGAGGCAGCGGGGCTTTGTTACTGACACCGTGTCTTGTGGACGAGAGACGTGCTCGACACTTCCTCGCACACAGAACGGCCCTTAGCGAGCTCTCAGTGGTGGCTGATCAGCTCCTGGTCGGTTAAAGAGGGTGCTGGTCAAGCATATGAGTCCTGCTCATCCGGGGTGGAGTGGAAATGAGGAACACTCGGCAGGAAAGCACCAGTTACAAGCGATGCCTCGCGTGGATGTGTTACACTGCACTGCACGCAATACATGCGCCAAATATCCCTGCTATATGGTGTCATTTCCACATATTCCGCACGCACAAGAGGCCATCGCACACGAGGCGCCGTTGACGCCCTCCAACTTATGACCTGAAGCGTCTCCAGCGCGAGGCGCCGCTAAGCAGCGGTGACCGGGCCGCGCGGCTCGGCTGCAGGACATAAACGAGGAGGAGCGTCTGCTGGAGTGGGAGATCTCGCCCTTCCGCTCGTTCGCGCACATGATCTCCTTCAAGGACCCGTACGACAAGCTGTGGAGGACCGCTTACGACTTCCACGTCAAGTATGAACGGCTGGTACAACGGTGAGGTGGCCGCTAGACACTCTCTGGCGTGAAGGGCTTGCCGTCCGAGGGGGAGGGGTTTCCTGGCGGTTGGCTGAGAGCTGAGGACCTGCTGGCTCAGTCATTCCTCTGCTGTTAGAGAACTGCCAGACTCCTGATATATATTATATATATATATATCTAATATATTATTAATATATATATATATTATATATATATATATATGGGCGTGGGCGTGGGGCTTGGGCGTGGGCCGTGTGCGGTGGCGTGCAGTGCGTGCGTGCGTGCGTGCGTGCGTTTGCGTGCGTTGCGTGGCGTGTGTGTGTGAGAGGTCAATCTGTTCCATGGCCTAGCACTTTTCAACATTGACCTTGACAGTGACTTGGCTGTGAATCGAACGGACTTCTACTGATAATCAGCTGCCTGACTAACGCGATATGACTGATATGATGTCAACTCATTATGACTCGCCTTGACTGCAACAGAAACCCTGGCCATGTTCTCCTGGCCTCATACTCCTGCCCTTTGAACCGGACCCCGCCCCTCCTGATCGTCCCGTTCTGTGTTTGGCCGTAGCTGTAGCCGGCGGATACTTGCACACACCGTTCTAGGTCTGGCCTCGGGTTGCGACTGTCCCCTGTCGAAGACCACGAGCCGAGTATGACCCTTACGCCTGTCCCTGATCTCCGACCCTTGGCTGACCTCTGTCCTGCGGCGGACATCTGTCCCGTGACTGACCTTTGTCCCATGACTGACCTCTGCCCTGTAGCTGACCTCTGTCTAGTGACGCCGTCGACCTCTGCCCTGAGACTGACCTGTAACCCGTGGCTGACCTCCGCACGTGATCCCTCCCGTCCAGGCCCGTTCCGCGGCATCGATTCGCTGGCGGCCGAGGAGGACGTCGAGAACATGTGGCGCGTGCTCTACAAGCTGGGCAAGGCGTTCATCGACACACCTGGACCGCGCCGCGTCGCCGAGACAGTCCGCCTCAAGGTGGAGAAGTTCAAGCAGTTCATACCTGTCATGCACTGCATCTGCAATCCGGGCATCCGCGACCGGCACTGGGAGGAGGTGAGGGTGACGACAGGTGTGGACGGCGGCAGACGGCCGGTATGCGGGCGTGTGCGTGCGTGCGGGCGTGCGTGCGTGCGTGCGTGTGGCGTGATGCGTGCTCGGCTGTTTGTGCGCTATATCTGCTAGCGGCTTCGCTTCCTTCGTTTTCCTGACTGATGTTCTGGCCTGTCCTCTGCAGCTTCTCATGTAGCAGCGTCTACGTGCGGTGTGTTCCTGCTGACTGTTGCCGTCCAGGTTTGACACTGATGCTAGCCCGAGTTTCACATTTGGTACTTTCGCTCCCGCCCTCGCCCCTGCAGACCGCCGCCGCAACTGCAGCTTTTACGGCCGCCGCCAGATGTCAGAAGCGCTGGGCTTCAGCATCCAGCCGCCGCCGGAGGCCTCGCTGGCGCAGATGATCGAACTGGGCGTGCAGAAGTACGTCAAGGTGCTGGAGGAGATTGGCGTGTCAGCCAGCAAGGAGTACGGCCTGGAGCGCGCCCTGCGCAAGATGACGGACGACTGGACGGACGTGCTCTTCGAGTTCATCCCGTACAGGTGCGCCCGGACGTCGGCCCGGCCGCGGCGCGGGTGGTGGGCATGACTGCGCCAGCTTTTGCTGTTCTTGAGTTCGTTCCGTTTGGGGTGTTTGTTGTAAGAAGCACTAAGGACGCGTGCCGAACCAAGGATAGAAGGAATATATGCGTTGTTTCCATTTCGCATCAGAAGCCTTCCTAAGGCGGCATGACACGATAGTTGATCTTTACACAAGTAAACAATCGGTCAACAGAGGCATGCATACCGACCTACACAGCAATGCGTATGACAGTCCGGCTGCGCGACAAAAGACACGGGATTGAGTCCCCGGGAACTGAAGCCTGAGCTGTGGCGCTGGCGCCGATCCCAGCTGACCTTTCACCCGGCGTGCGCCAGAGACACGGGCCGTGAGCATCCGGTCGGCGGTGGACGACATACAGGCGCTGCTGGACGACCATATCGTCAAGGCGCAAGACCATGCGCGGCTCGCCGTACGTCAAGCCGTTCGAGGCTGAGATGCGCGCCTGGGAGGAGAAGCTCGTGCGGATGCAGGTGAGGGGAAAGAAGGAAGCAGGGAGGCAGGGAGGCAGGAGGCAGGGAGGCAGGGAGGCAGAGAGGCAGGGAGGCAGAGAGGCAGAGAGCAGGGAGGCAGTGAGGCAGGGAGGCAGGAGGCAGAGAGGCAGAGAGGCAGTGAGACAGAGAGGCAGGCAGACAGAGAGGCAGAGAGGCAGAGAGGCAGGGAGGCAGAGAGACAGGGAGGCAGAGAGGCAGGGAGGCAGCGAGGCAGCGAGGCAGCGAGGCAGGGAGCGAAGGAGCGAGGGAGCGAGGGAGCGAGGGAGCGAGGCAGGGAGGCAGGGAGGCAGGGAGGGAGGGAGTTTGGCAGGCGGTAGCGCGCGCACCGGGCGCCAGCGGCGTGCCGTAGCCTCAGCTGGCGCGACCTCCGCCCGCAGCGGTCAGGGTTTGTGTGAGATGGACCGTTGCACGGTCACCACCATTATGATATGGACCACGCCAAAATAGCGACCACATGCCCGAGCGATGCTGTATTCAACCCGCACAGGGTGTTCCGTTTCACTCAGCTGTTAACGCTGAATGCTGGCTATTCACATGGGCCCGGCCGGCGCACTTAAAACACTAATTAATACAGGATGCTTAGTGTTATAGTATGAGGCGCAAGTGTTTTATGGTAGCACGCCGGCGTGATCCCGCCGGGCCGCTTATTGCGAGGCTGGGCCAGACAGCACCCGGCTCGGTGAGATAACATGAGGAGGGACTACGAGGACTTGTCGACCAGCGATTTGGCTGCCCAACTCCTGTTGCTAAACAGGAGCATATTCTGGTCCCTCGTGAAACAATGCCAGGCACCGCACCGTCTCCTCTGATCTGGAGACAGGTCAGGTCAAGTCGGGTCAGGACAGGTGGTTGTCATGTTCCTCGGTCTCTGTGGCGGAGGCGCCTCACCCTTATATCTGTCTCCGCTTTTCTGGTGGGTACCTGTGGTGGTCCTCTGGTGGGTACATCTGGTGATCGTCTGATGGGTACCTCTGGTGCTCCCTTCGTGCCGTCCGTTGCGCGCGGCCGCGACAACGCCCTGTGCTGGCGTCCGGCGCGCCATCTGCTGGTGAGCTCTGCCACTAACAGTGCTCCTGCGCACCGCCAGGACATCCTGGACGCCTGGCTGAAAGTGCAGGCCACCTGGCTCTACCTGGAGCCCATCTTCGGCTCCGAGGACATCGTCAAACAGGTGCGGACAGCGCTCTCCGAGCTGGGAGCTTGGCGCGCTTCTGGTAGGCTGTCACGGCCGTTGACCGGATTTGGCGCGACGCCGTGGAAGATCGCAGATAATGTCGCTTCATGTCCGGCGCGGGGTCTCGTCTTGTGTCCCGGTCTAACGAGTAGCGGTGTTCGCCGAATCCTCATTGGAGGGACACATTGGGCTCCATGCGTCTATCAAAGTGTAGTGATGCACGTATAGTCTTATTGCTTGATTGGTAAATCAATTCGCAGTTCCATCTTCAGCGCGCTTCACCGCGCTGCCGAAATCTCAGACTTGGCCGCCATGAAATGTGGTCCGACCCGCCGACTAGCCTCGGTGACCTGAGCGGCACGGAACAAGCGCTCAGCGTCACGTCCCGGCCCGGCTAACCCGCCCGTCCGGCTGCAGATGCCGGCCGAGGGGAAGAAGTTCGTGCGGGTGGACCGGATCTGGCGGGACGTGATGGGGAAGGCGGTGGTGGACGCGCACGCCCTGGCGGCCACCGACCAGGACCAAATGCTGGAGCGGCTCAACGACGCCAACCGCCTGCTGGAGGAGATCCAGAAGGGGCTCAACGACTACCTGGAGAAGAAGCGGCTCTTCTTCCCGCGGTGAGCATGCTCGTAGACGAGGCTGCCGCTGCGGTGAGCGCCGGTGGGGGTCGATCCAGCTGCCGCTCTTGCCTTGATGCACACAGCTCGGCTGCTGCCACCTCGTGGCGGAGCGAAGGTCACCGCGCAGCCGGTGACGAGTGAATCCGAATCCGAAGCCGAATCCGAATCCGAATCCGAGCTGTATCCGATCCGGGTGCTGCTGTGTGCGGCGGCGGCGGCGGCGGCGGCGGCGGCGATGGCGGCGGTGTCCTCCGTATGTGGCTCACACGAGTTTGTTTGCTCTGCAGGTTCTTCTTCCTGTCTAATGATGAACTGCTGGAGATTCTGGCCGAGACCAAGGACCCGCTGCGCGTGCAGCCTCATCTGAAGAAGTGTTTCGAGGGTGCGTCCAGCACAGATGTCAATGGAACAGGCCATCTGGCGCCACTGAAGCACGCCTCAAGGCGTTACAATGCTCCGAGGACATGCTCATAGTGTCTTGGATCGATACATTTGCTTTCCAGCTGGTGTCCGTAAAGACCGGGGCAGCGGCAGTGCTGGCTTTAGCTTTGTAAGATATGCAAGGTGATCTGGATGCACGTGTAAGAAGGAGAACGTGCGTGAATGTTGCACATGATGGATGCATCGTGATTTGGGCGTAGGTTAGAAATAGTTTGGATAGATAATCGTTGTTTCATGCAGCCTGGCATCTCATCTGCCCACTGTGATCTGACCTCATCTGTGGGTGACCGATCCGGTCCTCTGTGACCTGACCTGGCCTGCCGGGTGACCGAACCCCGCCCTCACCAGACCTCCCTCTGTGACCTGACCTTGTCTGTGGGTGACCAATCCCGGCCCTCTGTGACCTGACCTGGCCTGCCGGGTGACCGACCCCCGCCCTCTCCAGGCATCCACCGGCTGCGGTTCACTGACGACATGCTGATCGTAGCCATGATCTCGACGGAGAAGGAGGAAGTGCCGCTCAGCACCGCCATCCGGCCGGCAGACGCGCGGGTCGGTGCTGGCGCCGGCGGCCGGAGGGTGGCGCGCTCTGTGGACCTGGTGCCGGCCGGCCGATCTGTCCCACCGCAGGGGTGGTCCGCACTCGGGCGGTGGCTGTGCAGCGGGTGCTAGTCGTGTACCCGCTTGACGTTGGGACGGTCCGTGGCTGGAGTCAGATCTGGGCGGGCGTCCGCCTGCCGTTGCCGCTGACAGCTTGGGAGCCAGCTCACAGTTTGCTCCGCGGCGCGCAGGGTGAGCCTTGTAGCGCTCGTACAGTAGTTCCCTCAGCCGGGGTGAGCCAGATAGCACAAGCGCGGCGTGTCCAGTGGCGATCGGTGAGGTAGAATGGTAAGCCGCCGTGTACCCGCCTGTCCACTGACCGGTGTCGTCTCGCCTCATGCCGCCGCCACCAGATGGAGGTAAGGTGCCGGCGGGCTGGCTGAAGACCGCCCCCCCCCCCTGCCGACGGGGCGGCCGTCCCGCAGTCGCCGCAGGGCCGTGCTCCCCGCCCGTCCCGCCGGTGGGACGGCACGATCAGTCGGACTCGAGGGGGGGGGGGGGGATACGAGAGATGGCGCGGCGTGCCCTAGGCTGGGTGGAGGTATCGGGGCTGCAGGCCATGGTTGAGCACCCACACGCTGTTTTGTGCGGGGTGCGTAGCGTAGTGCGCAAAAAACCCATTGTACGAGCATGAGTGATGTAATTTCCAGAAATGGATGGTGCTTTCAGCGTTATATCTTCTGTGGTCACCGTCCCTAGGCGGTCTATTTAGCATGTTTGCAGTTGGAGCAGCAGCAGCTGCAGCAGCCGCTGAAACGGTTGTTCTAGGCCAGCTGGTGGCGGTTGAGCTCATGAGCTCCCCAGTGTTTCCTCGGTGCGGCTGATTATCAAGGCCTGTGCAGTTTGTCTATGAAGGTAGATTGGGATATGTCATTCTTTGCTTTATCTGTGGGCCAATGTTCCCGTGGTGTTTGCACCCTCACAGAAGCCGCTGCCCGATTTTGGGTGAGTTCGTGGCAGCGCCTCCAAGCTTCTGGATGAACCCTCTCGCACCCTCTTGGGGATGCCCGTGACGTCAGGACGCTGCAGTTAGGGGTTTGCAGAAGGCATCCAGATATGATTCGGGGCCCATACCTCTGTTGAGTCTAGCTCAGGTGCGGACTGACCTTGACGCCTACGGGTTACTCACGGTCGATAGTCTGTAAGTGCCGTTTAACGAGTGTGCCTGCTCGGTACCAAGCGCAGTCCATCTCTTGACTAGTAAGCTGGCTCCAAACCTGGCCGGTGTAATGCGAAGCGTGGGAACTGCTGGCACACACACTTGTCTGAAGTTGGGCATGTTCGTTAAGGCCTTGGCCGGTCGTTGGGCGGCCGGTCGTCTTCGCTCCCATTCACTGCTTATCCCGGCCTTTTTCAGCGCGGGAAGATGTCCAGAGAGGTAACAGACGCCAAGCGTGAATAAATGCCACACAAACTGCATGGGGTGCAGCGCGTGATAAACGATAAACAGGCGAACCGGCAGACGCGATAAACTAAAGGCAACGTAGGCATCGGACGCGCTTAAAGACGGGGGTCCGAATTAGCCCCTTGCCAATCACAAAGATGCTAAATAAAGCTGATTTTCTCTTGCTTTCAGTCCAGGTCGTAGTAGCGCCGTATAAAATCACAAGCCAATACGGCTAATTTCATGATTTTGCTCATATATAAATTCCTTCATGCGCTCATGCCCGAGCTTCTCTTCTTTCTGTTCCTGTAGCATCTTACGATGCCTTGTGTGCGCCTCTTCGCGATGAATTTCAGCGAGGCAGCCGCAGCCTTATCAACAGCGATTGCACAGTAGCCGATAACGTCCTCCGTGTGCCGCTATGCTTTGCCTGTTCCTCAAGCGATGATGCTAACCCCGCTTCCGTCTTCTCTGTCCTGAGGCTTTCAGCTTTGTCAACTAAACTAATCACCGAACGCTTCATCGCTAAATTGATTCGACATTTGCGCTTTTGTAATCCGTCAACCAATGCTAAACCAACGGCCCTCCGTCACATCCACCGCCTGAGGTCCAGTCCACGCAGCTCCTTGGGGAGGAAAGCCGACAATTTTTGGACGTGGACGCGCGAACGGACAGGGTCAACGAGTGCTGTTAGCTCGCGCTGGCAATGTTGACGGTTGTCCCGCACGTGCGGCGCGCCTGTTGTACGAGTAAACCTGGTGACGGTTGTCTCGCACGTGCAGCGCGCCTGTTGTACGAGTAAACCTGGTGACGGTTGTCTCGCACGTGCAGCGCGCCTGTTGTACGGGTAAACCTGGTGACGGTTGTCCCGCACGTGCGGCGCGCCTGTTGTACGGGTAAACCTGGTGACGGTTGTCTCGCACGTGCGGCGCGCCTGTTGTACGGGTAAACTTGACTCACGTCTGCCTGGCATGGCGAGTCAAACGGGCAGCCTGCCCAGCTTCTGTCCGTCATGATACGGTGCTCAGCATTTTCCCATCTGGGACAGCCGTCACTGCTCGCTGTTTTCCGGCGTCGGCATCCGTTCCCACCGCGGCCCCGTGGTCTGCTCCTGTGGTGGCCGACTCATCCCGGGAGCTGTGACCCACGAAACGTGACGTTTCGTGAGCGTGACGGGCGTGACGTGACAAAACGCGTGACGGGCTCCGCCGAGCACCAGCGTCGCACGTGACTTGACGTGTGATGACGTGACCCGAGCGGCACCTGACGACCTGAGCTGACCTCAGCCGAAGTGAATGGCGCCTGACCCGACCTGTCATGACTCGAAGTGACCTGATCTGTGCGATGTTTGACCTGGGCTGCGCGCGGTATGGCTGTACCCGTCGCGGACTTGATGTGACCTATGCTAGTGAGGCCTGTACGAGACAAGGGCTGGACTTGACCTGGGCTAAACGTGACCTGGCATTACCCCCATCACGTGGCAGAGTAAGTCAGCCAGATCCAACTTGACAGGGCCTTCCGTGCAGACCTGACCTGACCTGACGTGGCCTGGCCTGACCATCGCTGGGCCTGACACGAACCGCACGCTACGGACCTGCGCATGACGTCAGCTGCGTGTAGGGCCTGACCTGACCTGATTTGACCTGACCTGACCTGACGCGGCAGGGCATGGTGGAGAAGTGGCTGTCGCAGGTGGAGCAGCAGATGATGGTGTCACTGCGGGACGTGGCCGAGCGGGCCGTCCAAAGCTATCTGAAGACGCCGCGTGAGTACGGGCCCACCCCGGCCGGGGACAGATCCCGCGTGTCTCGGCGGCACGCGGCGCGCGACCCGCCGCCCCGGCTGGCGAGCTCGGACCCTGCTCAGCCGGGGCCCAGTGTGAAGCCCCCGGCGGCGACGGTGACTGGCTGTGGGTGGTCATGGTTCGCTGATGTCGCGAGCGAGGGGGCGCCGGCTGCGTCCCCGCGTGCCGCGTGTTGTGGTCCCCCGACCATGTGTTTCAGCTGCAGCATTTGCACTTTGGTACGACGGATATGCAAAGACTTTCGACGGTCCTGTCAGGCGAAGATGATGACGGCAACATCCCTTAATGTGCTGAGACGCTGGGTTTAAGGCGCATCCAACAATCCATGCTTAGCAGGCCTCAGCATGTTGGCTTCCATGCAAGCTTCTGCGAAGTGTTTGTCGCAAAGCATCATTAGACAGCGGGTCAGCGTGTGACGCATACGGCTGTTCGTGGTACCGACCTTCCTGGTAACGGCTCACACCACCCCGAGGCTCCTCCAGAGAGGGAGGCGTCTGGTGGCCGTGTGACACTGACCGTCGCTCGCGGGCGCGTGCCTGTGCCGCCAGGGGAGCAGTGGGTGCTGGAGTGGCCGGGGCAGATCGTGTTGTGCGGCAGCCAGATTCACTGGACCACCGAGGTCACCGAGGCCATCCAGACGCAGGGCGGCCTGGAGGTGGGCAGGCGCTGCCGCAGCGGGGCGCGGCCACCGGTCTACCGGCTGGTCCGCCCGGTCCGCCGGCTGGTCCGCCCGGTCCGTCGGCTGGTCCGCTCGGTCCACCGGCTGGTCCGCCCGGTCCGTCCGGCTAGTCCGCCCGGTCCGTCGGCTGGTCCGCTCGGTCCGCCGGCTGGTCCGCCCGGTCCGTCGGCTGGTCCGCCCGGTTGTCTGCCCGGTCCTCCGGCTGGTCTGCGGTCGTGCGGTCTTCTGGCGCAGATATGTGGTCCTGTGGTCTCTGTGGTTTCTTGTGGTCTCTTGGTGTCGCTTGAGGTTGTCGCATGGCCTCATGACACCCTCGTGTGGTAACGTGATGCTCTCAGTGGCTGCTGATCGTCCCTGACCCGTAGTCTCATGTTCCTGCAAAGTGGTCGAGCAGTTCTATTGAAGGAGCTGTATGGTGCTCTCAAACGGTGACGTGGTGGCGGGGTTCTCCCATGTCTTCGGAAATGAACCTTTTTGAGCAGCTCAGGTGGTTTTGCGAGTTCTAGGATTGCGAAAATCGGACACAGAGCAGGCTGACCACGTGAGCTCCTCATCCGCACCACTTCCGTTATACCACAGCCGCGTTACGGGCCTGACCTGGCTTTGGCGGCTACGTCAGCCGCAACCAGCAGCTTTCCCCTGCGCACAGCCTGATCATCACACACACACACGCCAGCCAGCCGGCGCCGCCGCCCCGGTGATGCCGGCGCCGCCTGACGCTCCGCCGCCGCCGCCGGCAGCGCTACCTGGAGACGTGTAACGGCCAGATCGACGGGACGGTGGCGCTGGTGCGGGGCAAGCTGGAGCCGGGGCACAGGGTCTCGCTCGGAGCACTCATCGTCATCGACGTGCACGGTACGGGCCGGTGCCGGCCGCTCTGGACGCTCTGGACGCTCTGGACGCTCTGGACGCTCTGGACGCTCTGGCCGCTCCGCCCGCTCCGCCCGCTCCGGACGCTCTGGCCGCTCTGGACGCTCTGGACGCTCTGGCCGCTCTGGCCGCTCCGGCCGCTCCGGCCGCTCCGGCCGCTCCGGCCGCTTCGATGCGGTGGAGCGGGCGGATGTGAGGTGGGGTGGTGGAGAGTGCGGCGGCAGTGGAAGGACGGCCGCAGTGGGCGGGGATGACGTGGACCGGTGGATGACTGGCACGGCGCCCGAACTGACGTGGGCACCGGCTGCTGTGATGAACAGGCTCACTCGCTGCGTGGAACAAACTCGCTAGTCGGATAGGGCAGGGGCTCACTCGCTATATAGGACAGACCTCACCCGCTGTGCGTATGTGTGTGTGGGGGGGGGGAGAGGTGGCTGTCTAGCCGTACAAGCCCACTCACTGTGTGGGGTTGGCTCGCTCGCTGAATGATCCCCTCGTTGCGCCGCTATATTCAGCATGCTGGGGAAGTGACAGCGGAATGAGGACATGACACCTACAACGCGGTGAGGAAGCGGAGGATCATCACCGATGGCCTCCGTGCTGACCGTGGGCTGTGCCGTCAGCGCGGGGCGTGCTGACCGTGGGCTGTGCCGCCAGCGCGGGACGTGCTGACCGTGGGCTGTACCGTCAGCGCGGGACGTGCTGACCGTGGGCTGTGCCGTCAGCGCGGGACGTGCTGACCGTGGGCTGTGCCGCCAGCGCGGGACGTGCTGACCGTGGGCTGTGCCGTCAGCGCGGGACGTGCTGACCGTGGGCTGTGCCGCCAGCGCGGGACGTGCTGACCGTGGGCTGTGCCGTCAGCGCGGGACGTGCTGACCGTGGGCTGTGCCGCCAGCGCGGGACGTGCTGACCGTGGGCTGTGCCGCCAGCGCGGGACGTGCTGACCGTGGGCTGTGCCGTCAGCGCGGGACGTGGTGCTGCAGCTGAAGGAGGAGCGCGTGACGTCACCACTCGACTTCAACTGGATCGCCCAGCTGCGTTACTACTGGGAGCAGGAATCGATCCGGGTGAGGCGGGCCGGTGACCGCACCGCTGGTCACTGCTGGTCCGGTCACCGCACCGCTGGTCACTGCTGGTGTGGTCACCGCACCACTGGTCACTACTGGTCCGGTCACGGACTGCTGGTCGCCGCTGGTCCGGTCACTGCACCGCTGGTCGCCGCTGGTCCGGTCACCGCACCGCTGGTCACTGCTGGTGTGGTCACCGCACCACTGGTCACTGCTGGTCCGGTCACCGCACCGCTGATCACTGCTGGTCGTTGGCTCGAGATGGCCGCCGCTGGTAACGGATCGCAGGGAACGGCGGCGAATGGCTGATGCCTGTTGGCGACCTGTAACTCGAATAACTTGGCTGACTCCTGAATAATAAATGATGACTGGTTACGGTGATAGCGGCTTATGAGCGGACAACTCATGACCTTTGTGACCATTGACTCGTGAGTGATGACTGGTGACCAGTGACTAGCTGGTGATAGCGGATGATAACAGATGACCCGTGACTGCGCGTGACTGATGACTACTGACTCGGAATAATAGTCGCTAACCACGATAGCGACCGGTAACATGTGACTGATGAGTGCTGGTAACATATAACTGATGACTGCTGGTAGCTTATGACCACCGGCTCGCGAACGCCGAGTTAACTGTTAGCTGATGATGGCAGCTGGTAACGGATAACTGACTGATCTTCAATAATTTAGTATGTAATAACGGCGCTGCTTGTGACTGGCGACAGCGGACAAGTGAATGATGACTGATGACTGGTGACGGATGGCTGACGGCTGATGACGGCTTAGTGGCTGATTGCTAGTGACTAGTGACGTTAGTGACTCGTGACCGAGGGCTGGTGACCAGTGACCGGCGACGGGCGCGCCCGGCTGCACTGCGCGCTGTCGGGGTCGGCGGGCGCCCACCGGCGCGTCATCGTGGTGACACGGCCGCCGGCCACAGGTGCGGATGATGACCACAGACCTGGCGTATGGGTTCGAGTACCTGGGAAACTCGGCCCGGCTCGTCATCACGCCTCTCACCGACCGCTGCTACCGGTACGGCAAGGGCGGCGCCGCCGCCAGTACGCGGCACCCCGCCGCTGCTCGGGTGTGTCGCCTCACGTGGGTGTGTGCGTGTGTGTGCGTGTGCGCGTGCGCGTGTCTGTATGGGTGTGTTGGTACGTTGTCGGCATGTGCAGATGCGCCGTCGCTGGATTCGGTCTGGTTGTCATGAGTGGCATCTTTGCCTGCCATCACGGATACGGCTAGGTGGCCGCCTCTGTCAGCATATGCGCCGAACATGGTCAGACAAATCTCCTCTCAAATGCAACCGATCGCCTATCTGTCAAACAGTGGTGAGCAAGCGATACGTAGCTTAAACTCTGGCTCCGGCACTACGCGAGGCCATGCTGCATGCGGCCGAGTCTGCCGGGCCCTCCAGAGCGGTGATCCAGCCAGGCTTCGACGCGTCGGGTCGGCGAGAGGTGGCGCTGCCTCTGTCGGGTGGCGCGGCGGCCGGCTGTGCTACGGCAGGGCGTGTGCCTGACGCCGCCTCCGTGGCCAGCACGCTGATGGGGGCGCTGAAGCTGAACCTGGGCGGCGCGCCGGAGGGCCCGGCCGGCACCGGCAAGACCGAGACCACCAAGGACCTGGCCAAGGCCATGGCCAAGCAGTGCGTGGTGTTCAACTGCTCGGACGGGCTGGACTACCGCGCCATGGGCAAGTTCTTCAAGGTGAGGCCCTGTGCGCCTGCGCTGGGGCGGGCAGGCGCTGCGCCGGGGCGGAGCTGCAGTCGTGACAGGTGCTGCCGATGGCAAACCGATGACGCGCAAGACAACGGCCAGTTGTCGTCGTCTGCTATGGGGCTTGTATGGGCTATTTGCAGGGATGCACGTTGTGGGTAGATTATGTGTGATGTTGATTTCGATAAGCTTGTCGACCGGCGGCTGTAGAGCGCGGTGTTGGGTGCGCGCTGAGGCTGTACAGCGGGTTGTGAGGTGCGGGCTGGGGCTGTGGAGCGAGGTGCTGGGTGCGGGCTGAGGCTGTGCAGCGGGGCGTGAGGTGCGGGCTGAGGCTGTGGAGCGGGTGGGTGGGTGTGGGCTGAGGCTGTGGAACAGGGCGTGAGGTGCAGGCTGAGGCTGTGGAGCGGGGGGGTTGTGGGCTGAGGCTGTGAAGCGGGGTGTGAGGTGCGGGCTGAGGCTGTGGAGCAAGGTGCGAGGTGCAGGCTGAGGCTCTGGAGGGGCGTGAGGTGCGGGCTGAGGCTGTGGAGCGGGGTGTGAGGTGCGGGCTGTGGCTGTGGAGCGGGGTGTGGGGTGTTTGCTGAGGCTGTGGGAGGGGGTGTGAGGTGCGGGCTGAGGCTGTAGAGTGGGGTGTGAGGTGCGGGCTGAGGCTATAGAGCGGGGCGTGAGGTGCGGGCTGGGGCTGCGGAGCGGGGTGTGGGGTGTTTGCTGAGGCTGTGTAGCGGGGTGTGAGGTGCGGGCTGAGGCTGTGGAGCGGGGTGTGGGGTGCGGGCTGGGGCTGTGGGGGGGTGTGAGGTGCGGGCTGGGGCTGTGGAGCGGGGTGTGAGGTGCGGGCTGAGGCTATAGAGCGGGGCGTGAGGTGCGGGCTGGGGCTGCGGAGCGGGGTGTGGGGTGTTTGCTGAGGCTGTGTAGCGGGGTGTGAGGTGCGGGCTGAGGCTGTGTGGAGCGGGGTGTGGGGTGCGGGCTGGGGCTGGGGAGCGGGGTGTGAGGTGCGGGCTGGGGCTGTGGAGCGGGGTGTGAGGTGCGGACTGGGGCTGCGGAGCGGGGTGTGGGGTGTTTGCTGAGGCTGTGTGTAGCGGGGCGTGAGGTGCGGGCTGGGCTGCGGAGCGGGTGTAGGCTGCGGGCTGGGGCTGCGGAGCGGGGTGTGGGGTGCGGTTGGGGCTGCGGAGGGGCGTGAGGTGCGGGCTGGGGCTGCGGAGCGGGGTGTGGGGTGCGGGCTGAGGCTGTGTAGCGGGGTGTGGGGTGCGGGCTGAGGCTGTGGAGCGGGGTGTGGGGTGCGGACTGAGGCTGTGGAGCGGGGTGTGAGGTGCGGGCTGGGGCTGTGGTCGCTGCTGTTGGCCTACATCGGCGTGGCTGCTGTGCTGCTCGGATCTACGTAACCCGGCGTCGGACGCTACAAAACGAAAAGAAACGAAAGCATCTGGAGGTTCAGCGCTCCATGTTTTGGCCCCCAACTGAAGTGCCGTTTTCCCGCGGTCTCCGTTACTTTAAACCGGCCACGCAATATCGCACTGTTTTGGCTCCTCACCGCGATAACATCGAGCCACGCTTCCACCGTTTGTATTGTCTTTCCGACCCCGCGATCCCGACGGCCGACGTCGCAAATCGACGCGTCGTCGTATATGGACGCGTCGGCTGTGAAGCTGTGCATCCCGGTGATGTCCCGTCCGGCTCCCGTGTCCCCGTTCCCTGTCCTCATGTGAACGGACATCTGACGCCGTGACTCCCCGTCCGAGCCGGCACATGACAGCTCGCCGTGCGCACTCCCGAGCGCCCGGCATCCCCGCACCGGCAGAGCATGCCCCGCTCTCCGCTCACCAGCGCCGCCGCCGCCGCCGACAGGGCCTGGCCCAGGCCGGCGCCTGGGCCTGCTTCGACGAGTTCAACCGCATCGAGCTGGAGGTGCTGTCGGTGGTGGCGCAGCAGATCCACTGTATCCAGCAGGCGATCGTGGCGCACATGAAGAAGTTCATCTTCGAGGGCACCGAGCTCGTGCTCAACCCCACCTGCTGCATCTTCATCACCATGAATCCCGGGTGGGTGAGACCGGAGGCCGTGGGCGCGCGGCTGGCCGCGGCCACCTGCTGGGTGGGGGGGTTAGTACGCGGTGAGTGCGGGTGGGCTGGCAGTGTGTGGAGGGCTGTGTCACTGAGACCAGCTTCAGGAGCCAGGGTCGGAGCCCGGAAGACTATGGGACCAGAGATCCGTACATTCATAGATCACTCTTCTTTAGATCCACACTATGGATCTGGATCTAGGTTATATACCCATAGATACATGTACATAGATCCAGGCACACAGGTTCCAGTCCACAGATCCGGATCCACAGATCCGGGTCCATAGATTCATTCTTGAGCTCCTGGCACATCCTTCCTATCAGTCAGTGTCGGTCGTCTCACCATGACCTGTCCGTTCCCTCCCGTGACCCACCATGCGTCAGAAGCCACCCATTCTGCCGTTCGCACAGCGTGCTCCGACTGTGTGGCCTCGTGCGGCGCCCACCGGCGTCTGCCTGGCGCCAGTGCCGCGGGATGGACGGCAGTGTGAGCAGGTGTGAGCGAGTGAGCGAGTATGAGCGAGTGTGAGCGAATATGTGCGAGTGTGAGGGAGTGTGTGCGAGCGTAAGCGGGTGCGAGCGAATGCGAGCGAGTGGGCGAGTATGAGCGAGTGTGGGCGAATATGTGCGAGTTTGAGCGAGTGAGCGAGTATGAGCGAGTGTGACGGAGTGTGTGCGAGTATGAGCGAGTGTCAGCGAGTGTCAGCGAATATGTGCGAGTGTCAGCGAGTGAGCGAGTATGAGCGAGTGTTAGGGAATATGTGCGAGTGTGAGCGAGTGTGAGCGAGTGCGAGCGGAGGCCGGTCAGTGACGCCGGCCGTCGCCCTGGTCCAGGTACGCCGGCCGACAGGAGCTGCCCGACAACCTGAAGGTGCTGTTCCGGACAGTGGCCATGATGGTGCCCGACTACGCCATGATCGGCGAGATCTCGCTCTACTCGTTCGGCTTCATGACCGCCAGGGGGTAGGTCTTGTAGGATGGCCTTGCCGGGCGTCAGAGTGCTAGACTTATGGGGGATGCTCGATGACCGCCAGAGGCTGGGGAGGGGTGGGGGGAACGGTCTCAGTGATGTTTGGCAGCCCGGCGATCACTCTCTCCCGATGGCCGTCAGCTGATTGGGTTGTTATCGAAGCTCCCTGTTCCATACAGAGTATGGAACAGGGGGCTCCGGGCGTAAGAACAGGGGGCACTTACATACAGAGTAAGAACAGGGGGCACTTCCGAACCCGGAAGCGATTGGGCCATGACACCGCACTGTTGGTATATTTTCAGCCAGTGACTGCAGTACTAGTCTGGACATCTGAAAATCCACGGAACTCCGTACTGACCATTCCGAAATCGACCCTACGCTCACTTGCCGAGTGGGCCGAGGGGCACGTGGCGCCTGTGGTGGAGCTGCGGCGGGCGCGGCGGGCGCCCCGGCGCCGGGCCGTGCCGCTGGAGCGGCCAGGGAGGCCGGGGCCCGCGAGCCGCCGCCGCCGCCGCCGCCGCCGCCGGCGGCCGCTGACCGCTGTCCGCTGACCTCGCCGACCCCGCCCGCGCCGCCAGCCTGGCCGGCAAGATCGTGGACACGTACCGGCTGTGCTCCGAACAGCTCTCCTCGCAGCACCACTACGACTACGGTGAGGCCGGACGTCGCCGCGCAGCTCCGGGCCGAGAGCTGGCGTGTGTGAGGGCGCCCGCGCGGCTCGCCCCGCGGTGCCTCCGTGTGGATGGGAGTAGTTCTCATATAGGGAGTAGTAGATATATGGAAGTAGATAGGGAGTAGTAGTATGAGCAGAATAGTAGAGATAGGAGTAGTAGAGTAGAGTAGTAAAGAGTCGAACAACAGCTGTGATGCGTGTTTTGCCGACTGTGGTGTGGGATGGGATGGGATGTCCCGATGTCGTGCAGCAGCGCATGGCGTATATGCATCCCAGCACCAAGAATGCTGGCCTCAGGCAGCTGGGGCCGTGCTCTAGCTCCCGTGATGTCCAGCAGCTTTGACACTGAGGGCTGCTGAGCGGGGCCCAGACGAGCCTCGCTCAGTTACACAGCTTAACACCTTCAGCTCGTGAGTTGTAGTGAGTGGTGCTGGTTGTAGCAAGCACATGATTATCCGTCACAGCAGACACAGTGCATAGGCGCCAGAGCTATCTTGTCAGCAGCATGCTCGCAGCGACTCGCCGGCTGCCAGGTGGGAACACGGCGTGCCCCAGTGCTGTGCCGGCTGCTCAGTAGTACCGGCCTCGGTCAGTCCCGGGGGTGTGCGGCCGGTCGGCGCAGGCGCCCGAGCTGTCCGTGGACCGTGGTGCTGCCAGCCTCTCCGCCAGGAATGCGGGCGGTCAAGGCGGTGCTGACGGCGGCCGGCAACCTCAAGCTCAAGCTGCCCGACGTCGACGAGTCGGTGCTGGTGCTGCGCGCCATCCAGGACGTCAACCTGCCCAAGTTCCTGTCGCAGGTAGGTCAGCGTGCCCGGCCGCCACCCGCCCAGCTCCGGCGGCGTCGGCTCCGAGGGTGCGTAGGTGCTGGTGCTTCGCTGCTGGCTTCTCCCCACGAGCATGCGCGGAGCAACACAAGACAGCGGTGGTCAGTGGTGCTGAAATTGCCAGCATTGTTCCCCGGCGGAGTCAGACAGCTGGAGCGGGGGCTAAACCATGACGTGACGCTGTTGCTCGGGGTTGAAACCAGCCAGGCCGTCCACTGAGGTGGCTTGTACCATCTCACCCTCGTTTTCTTTGTGCTGCCTCCTAATCCTCTTTTCAAGGTGGGGGGAGATCATGTTTGAAGATACTAAAACAAGCCTCAGAATTATCAAAAAGCTCACTTGTAACTATTGGCATGCTTTTACGTAGGAATGGCTGTTTTAGGCAAGACAATTTGCCTATTTATTGAATATGCTCTTCAATACGTCATTGCTTGATTGTGTCATGCAATGTTTGTATGACGCTGAGCTGCTGTTAATCTGGCCGTGCGAAGCTGCTACACAGGCACTCACTTGTAGTACTTAAATCTCCTCAGATGTGGCCGTGGCCGTGCGGGGTGTTTGATGAACATAACATCGTTTTGTGCTCGTGCTTTGGCCGTCTCTCGTGATGTTCTTGCATACGTACTCGTTGCTTAAATTTGTTTACTTGTTTTCACGTATTCTGTTGTGGCGCTTTTCTTAAGTTATTCCATTGCAAGTCTTTCCCGTCACAGCTAGGAAGGATGTCCAACTTCTTGTGTTATTTAACACCAAAAGTGATTCGTGATTGAATCTTTCACAGCCTGCGCAACATTGGCTGAGAGCCAACCAGCGCCGTTACATTTGGAAATCACGCTAACAAACGCCAAATACGAACGATTTGTCGATTATTTCCTTCTTGGCCGTTGCGCTGCATGACGAAATGAGGGGCAGGATCTGAATGACGTTTCTACAGCATTATGCACGCCCGAATAATCTTGAAATAGTCTTCACCAAATAGTCTGCACGTCTTTACGGGCGTATGGCTCAGGAACTAGGGGGTTATAGGTCTCAAGGAAAGCAGGGATGTAGGCCCCGCTGATGAACTTCAAGGTGGTTATTTCAGCACCCCCTTTTAACAGGTAGCAAAAACGTCCTTTCAGCCAACTCAGTCACGCTTCCCTAGCTGGATTATATTAAAACGGTAACCTTGAATGGGATCTGGTTCAGATGGTAAAAGGAGGCCTATTCGTGACGGCTGCAATCGGATTGGCAAGCAAAACATTGTGTTGTGTTGCGCAAAACGCAAAGTGCCGCCGTCATCGGTGTTTTTGACGCAAACGGCGTTGCGCTGGCGGGCTGATTCGTCCAGACCGGCCGTTCCTTGACGGATGATGCTGTTGGAAGGACGTGCCGCTGTTCGCCGGCATCATCAGCGACCTGTTCCCGGGCGTGGTGCTGCCCAAGCCGGACTACGAGGTGCTCCTGGACGCGCTGCACGAGGCCATCGCCAGGCGTAACCTGCAGCCGGTGCCCTGGTTCATCGGTGCGTCTGCGGCCGCGGGTGTCCCGCCGCGTAGTCGCCGGCTAGGCTGACGTTGGGGGAGTTTGAGTGCGTCCACGTCCATTTGGTGCAGCGCCACCGGCCAAGGAGGGCAGGATGGGTGTAACCTGTCGTTAATGATTTGTGTTAAATGCCGCTCATTGGCGGTTCAGCAGGCCTGGGTCGATTCAGGGACTGTTGATAGTGCTGACAGTGTAACTACGTTGGACAACTGCTCTTGTATGATTGTGTGTAAACTGAGGCTGGTTCGTGATAGAAAGAAGAGCGATAGTAAACAGTCCGGCAGAATAATATAAGGGAAGTTAAAATGCTGGACAGGCGCCTCACGTTAAAGGCTTCATTGAAGTCATTCAAGTACACATATCAGACACCTAGGGAGCACTAGCCTTCCGCTTTAAGTAACGTACTCGCCTTTAAAACCGGGAGAAAAAGCCTTAGGGGCGAGAGCCGGGTCCTGTCTTTTCGACCAAAGTTGTGTGCCAAAGTGTCTTTCTTCACTATTATTCTGTCACTTCTCTTCGCTTCCAATTTGGCTCACAGCTTGGCCCGACGGTTATTGGATGACTGCCCCTGACCTCGAGGGCTTCGGTGTGGCCAGTGACAAGCGCCCACATCCATGAACTAACAGCACTTGGTTATCCCACGGAGCTGTGGGATAACCAAACGTTGTACCAATCACCACCGCAGTGATCTACCGGCGCCCATTCTCCTGACAGCGTGACCCGGCTGTGAGGCATGACGCCCCCTGCGCAGGGCTCCACGCCGACCGCCGTCACAGCAGGCACCGCCAGACAGCCGCCTCTCGTTTCAGATAAGATCATCCAGGTGTACGAGATGATCCTGGTGCGCCACGGTCTGATGGTGGTCGGCGACCCCATGGGCGGCAAGACGTGTGCCTACCAGGTGCGTCTCCGGCTCCCTCCGGCTCCCTCCGCCCCCCTCCGGCCCCTCCGGCTCCCTCCGGCTCCCTCCGACTCCCTCCGGCTCGCTCTGCCGCCCGCGTGCTCGGTGGAGCCCGCTACACGCACATTACTGTGATCGTCCAGGCTCGGAGCGGCGGTAGAAGCCGTTTGAAGGGAGGACTGTGCTAGGCTGGTTAGGTGATCGCCCTCCGCCCGCTGTGACTCCAGCCGTTCGTTCGACAGAAAACTGATGCGCGATTTGCGCTGTTCTTTGACTCAACAAAACTCGTCGTTCCGGGACAATGGCCTTCCAGCAAAACACCCGCCCGGCGCAGATATTCGGTTTAGATATCGTGAGCCTCCCGTCCAGCTTTTCCGTCTGGTTGGCTTCTTCCCTTCGCTGCACGCACGCGGCCCGGGTGCGCCTTCCCAGCACAGCAGCCTGGCCATCCCCATGCATCAGCGTCCACCGTCATTATCAGCCGGGCTCTGCGCCCGCCGACCGGCGACGTGTCGTGGCGTGACGTGGCGTGAGGTGTCGTGGTGTCGTGAGGTGACGTGACGTGACGTTCGTGTCGTGTCGTGTCGTGACGTGATGTGCCGTTAGGTGACGTGACGTGACGTGGTGTGACGTGACGTGACGTGACGTGACGTGACGTGTCGTGACGTGATGTGACGTGTCGTGTCGTGTCGTGTCGTGACGTAGCGTGGCGTGACGTGAGGTGTCGTGAGGTGACGTGACGTCGTGACGTGGCGGGCGCGGCGTGGCGTGGCGTGGCGTGGCGTGGCGGTGGCGTGGAGTGGCGTGGCGTGGCGTGGCGTGGCGGGCGTGGCGTGGCGTGGCGTGGCGTGGCGTGGCGTGCGTGGCGTGGCGTGGCGTGGCGTGGCGTGGCGTGGTGTGGCGGTCTCGTGTCGTGTCGTAACGTGACGTGGTGTGTCGTGTCTCGTGTCGTGTCGTGACGTGACGTGACGTGACGTCAGGTGCTGGCCGACGCGCTGACCATCATCCACGCGTCCGGCAACACAAGCATGGCCGAGAACGCCGTCCAGTACAAGATCATCAACCCGAAGGCGATCACCATGGGCCAGCTGTACGGATGTTTCGATGCCGTCTCGCACGAGTGGTCGGACGGTAAGAGCGGCACACACCCGCGTGCTGAAGCGAGCCGGGCGAAACTCGCTCTGACAGCTCAGCGTGCCCAGACTCTGGTCCCGATCAGCAGACCTGTTCGGTGCCTGTCGCGGCAACTGTACGAGGTTGTTTGACTCGCGCGACGTAATAACGCACCCCGCTCACTTCTTGCTCCTTGTTCTGAGGCTGACGCGTTTGTGGTGACCTTTATACTTTCATCTCTCGAAGGTTAATTCAGTTCCAATATCTCGCAAACCTCTTTTTGCATTTTTTCCGCGGGGCATTATTGTTGTGCCTGGCATGTCTCCAGCAAACCTTGTGCTAAGGCCGCTTGCTTGCCTTGACTCGGAACGACAACACGTTGCCGACCCTGACCTGTTCAATCGCCATGGTTTGCCAGAGACACCATGTCACGATTCCGAGCCCCCGGGCGCCGCTGCTGAGCATGCGCGGCGTCTGCCCCTGCCGCCAGGTGTGCTGGCCAACAGCTTCCGCGACTTCGCGCAGTCGGTGACGCCCGACCGCAAGTGGATCCTGTTCGACGGCCCAGTGGACGCCGTCTGGATCGAGAACATGAACACCGTGCTGGACGACAACAAGAAGCTGTGCCTCATGTCCGGCGAGATCATTCAGGTGGCGGGGCGGCGGCTGGCGCCGGAGGGGGAGGCGTCCAGTCGCCGGGGACTGGCCTGCATGCATGTGGCGAGGGGTGCTTTAGGTGTCGGCAACACGTGGCCGTTTAAGTAATACGTGGCCGTTTAGGTAATACGTGATCGAGGAAACTACGGAAACACAGCCTTGTCGTTCGCGAGTGCCGGCAGCGTGCTAGTCTGACTGGCAGTCTGACTGGCAGTCTGATGTCAGTCTGGTGCCCTTCGCCCGTCCCGCAGTCCCCTCTGTCTCCTGACTGACATCTGCCAGTGACTTCTCTCCACCCCCGAGCGCCGTGAATCTCACGACTGCCCCAGCGGTGCCGACCCGCTCTGGTCGCCGATCTCCGGGTCTCGCTCCGGTGCCCTGGTCTCATGTGGCCGCCGCCGCCCTCCCGCAGATGAGCTCCGCCATGAACCTGATCTTCGAGCCGGCCGACCTGGAGCAGGCCTCGCCGGCCACCGTCTCCCGCTGCGGCATGATCTACCTGGAGCCGCACCAGCTGGGCTGGCGGCCCATCAAGGTGCGGCTCGGTCCGCGACGCGGCCGGGCCGCGGTCCGACGCCCCCCCCCCCCCGCCCGCACGGTCCGGTGCCGCCCTGTAACGGACGCTGGTGCGGTGCGGTACCGGACTAGGATGGTCCGGTGCCGACCTGTGACGGACGCTGGTGCGGTGCGGTACCGGACTAGGATGGTCCGGTGCCGACCTGTGACGGACGCTGGTGCGGTGCGGTACCGGACTAGGATGGTCCGATGCCGACCTGTGACGGACGCTGGTGCGGTGCGGTACCGGACTAGGATGGTCCAGTGCCGACCTGTGACGGACGCTGGTGCGGTGCGGTACCGGACTAGGATGGTCCAGTGCCGACCTGTGACGGACGCTGGTGCGGTGCGGTACCGGATTAGGATGGTCCGGTGCCGACCTGTGACGGACGCTGGTGCGGTGCGGTACCGGACTAGGATGGTCCAGTGCCGACCTGTGACGGACGCTGGTGCGGTGCGGTATCGGACTAGGATGGTCCGGTGCCGACCTGTGACGGACGCTGGTGCGGTGCGGTGCCGGACTAGGATGGTCCAGTGCCGACTTGTGACGGACGCTGGTGCGGTGCGGTACCGGACCAGGATGGTCCAGTGCCGACCTGTGACGGACGCTGGTGCGGTGCGGTGCCGGCCTAGGATGGTCCAGTGCCGACCTGTGACGGACGCTGGTGCGGTCCGGTACCTTCCGCCGTGATATAGCCCGGCGCCGTACTCTGATGCAGAGTGGTACGCGCCCAGGCGCCAGTGCGCGGCTCGGTTACGGGCTGTCGCCGCCAGAGGCGTTAGTGTCGCTGCTTGTGCCGCGCAGGCTCTGCCGGGTTTATCCCGCGGGTCGCAGGGCACAGGCACTTCTGGAACGAGTACCGATGGCTTCGCGAATGCATTCTGGCCGCCAGTCTGGCTGCCAGTCTGGCTGCCAATCAGTTTGGCAGTCTGACCGCAGAAAAAAACATCGCAAAGCCGGGAGCGAATCTCGAAACTATGATACTTCAGTCAGGCGTCCCCCGGCTCGCCGCCGCCTGGCCGCGGTACCCTCCGAAGCACGCTCTCCATGCTCCCACACACCGTGCCCCAGCCCTCGTGTGAACGCGCTGACGCCACCCGCCACAGGACTCGTACCTGACCACGCTGCCCGAGGCCATCACCGACGAGCTGAGGGCCAGCATCGACGACATGTTCGAGTGGTTGGTGGACCCGCTGCTGCGGTTCCTCAAGCACAGGCCAAGGTGTTCATGCGGACGTCGGACCTGCACCTCGTCTGGGTAAGCAGCTGACCGGCGGTGCGGCGGCGGGCTCCAGTCCTGGGGTCGGTACGGGAGCACGCCTGTCAGGTGGATCCGGTTGGAGTGGGACACGTCAGTGGACCTGGGTGGGCAAGCAGCTGGACCGGCAGGTGGACCCGGTTGGCGGCGTTGGGGTGGGGCATGGATGTCAGGTGGACCCAGTTGGGGTGGGCATGGATGTCGGTGGACCGGTTGGGTGGAAATGGATGTCAGGTGGACCCGGTTGTGGTTGCGAACATGGATGTCAGGTGGACCCGGTGGGTGGAACATGGATGTCAGGTGGACGCCGGTTGGGGTGGAACATGGATGTCAGTGGACCCAGTTGGTGGAATTGGATTCAGGTAGTGGACCCGGTTGGGGTGGGGCATGGATGTCGGGTGGACCCGCTTGGGGTGGAACATGGATGTCAGGTGGACCCGGTTGGGGTGGAACATGGATGTCAGGTGGACCCAGTTGGGGTAGGGCATGGACGTCAGGTGGACCCGGTTGGGGTGGAACATGGATGTCAGGTGGACCCGGTTGGGGTGGAACATGGATGTCAGGTGGACCCGGTTGGGGTGGAACATGGATGTCAGGTGGACCCGGTTGGGGTGGAACATGGATGTCAAGTTGGACCCAGTTGGGGTGGAATATGGATGTCAGGTGGACCTGGTTGGGGTGGGGCATGGATGTCGGGTGGACCCGGTTGGGGTGGGGCATGGATGTCGGGTGGACCTGGTTGGGGTGGAACATCGATGTCAGGTGGACCCGCTTGGTGTGGAATATGGATGTCAGGTGGACCCGGTTGGGGTAGAACATGAATATCAGGTGGACCCGGTTGGGGTGGAACATGAATGTCAGGTGGACCCGGTTGGGGGAATGGATGTCAGGTGGACCCGGTTGGGGGGAGGAAGGGAGGTCGGTAGGTGACGCCACGATTCTGAACGGGCCACCCGCTCAGAATCGTCAAAAATCCAAAGCCAGGGTCGCTGTGTAGTTGACTGCCCAAAGCCGGGGTCGTTAAGTAGCTGCTCCGGGCGTGATGAATTAACGCTGGTTGTCATATTGAGGAGGGGGGGGGGGGGGGGGGGGAGACGCCTTTCAATAGCAGACGGCCTCATGCTTGCGGCTCTGTATCCTCACGCAACCTGACCAGAAGACCGGCACCTTCACCATTGCGCTACACTCCCGGCACGTGTCAGCTGCAGAGCTCTGCAGCAGACCCCGCTGCTGGCTGTCTGACGGGGTATGCGCGCCGGCAGTGTTTCACCAAGCTGTACACGTGCATGCTGGACGAGATAGCCGAGTCCACACAGCCCGGCAAGGACCCGATCCACCCCAACAACTTGACCAACTGGGTCCAGGTCAGTAACGGAGGCGGGCCTCGGCTAACGCAGGCGGGCCTGACCTGCCCGCCTCGGTCGGTCGATGATGTGCTCGAGCCGGGTGTCGCAGCTTGGGTTACAGGGCCTGCGCGTGTTCTGCCAGCCCTGGTCGATTGGTGCTCTGTTCTAGCCGGGTGTCGTGGCGTCTGTTACAAGGCCTGTTCACGTTCTGCCTTCCCTGGTCTGTCTGTGCTGTGTTCGAGCCGGGTGTCGTGGCGTCTGTTACAGGGCCTGTTCGTGTTCTGTCTTCCCTGCGGGAGCCGGGTGTCGTGGCGTCTGTTACAGGGCCTGTTCACGTTCTGCCTTTCCTGGTCTGTCTGTGCTGTGTTCGAGCCGGGTGTCGTGGCGTCTGTTACAGGGCCTGTTCGTGCTCTGCCTACCCTGCTGGAGCCGAGTGTCGTGGCGTATGTTACAGGGCCTGTTCGTGTTCTGTCTGCCCTGCTGGAGCCGGTTGTCGTGGCGCCTGTTACAGGGCCTGTTCGTGTTCTGTCTGCCCTGCTGGAGCCGGGTGTCGTGGCGTCTGTTACAAGGCCTGTTCGTGCTCTGCCTACCCTGCTGGAGCCGGGTGTCGTGGCGTCTGTTACAGGGCCTGTTCGTGTTCTGCCTGCCCTGGTCGATCGGTGCTCTGATGACTACTGAGAGCAGAGTCGCGTTCGACGCGCTGCTCCGGGACATTCTGCTGGGCACCAACAAGGAGTACCCCAAGCCCAAGTCCTTCAAGCTCGGCAAGGGGTCGCCGGCCAGATGGCAGGCCGACACGGCCGTACAGCCAGCCCCACCATTGCCGGCGGGAGGGCGGTCCACTATTGGCGGCGGGAGGGCTGTCCACCATTGCTGGCGGGAGGGCGGTCCACTGTTGCCGGCGGGGGGGGGGGGCGGTCCACTGTTGCCGGCGGGAGGGCGGTCCACTGTTGCCGGCGGGGGGGGGGGCGGTCCACTGTTGCCGGCGGGAGGGCGGTCCACTGTTGCCGGGGGGGGGGGGGGGCGGTCCACTATTGGCGGCGGGAGGGCTGTCCACCATTGCTGGCGGGAGGCGGTCCACTATTGCCGGCGGGAGGGCGGTCCACTGTTGCCGGCGGGGGGGGGGGGCGGTCCACTGTTGCCGGCGGGAGGGCGGTCCACTGTTGCCGGCGGGGGGGGGGGGGCGGTCCACTATTGGCGGCGGGAGGGCTGTCCACCATTGCTGGCGGAGGGCGGTCCACTATTGCCGGCGGGAGGGCGGTCCACTGTTGCCGGCGGGGGGGGGGGGGCGGTCCACTGTTGCCGGCGGGAGGGCGGTCCACTGTTGCCGGCGGGAGGGCGGTCGGCGCCGGCGAGCCGCGTGCTACCGTCTCGCAAACATGACGCCCCGCTGCGCGGGCGCACAGCAGCCGCCGGCCGAGCGAGCCGGCGGACAGACTGCGGCCGGTGCCGGAGACTGCGTCCGCAGCCGAGAATGCACTGCTGATGACAGGTGTCTTGTGCCGACCGTAGCGTGTCCAGTGCGCGGCTCGGGAACAGCGCTGTGTGTTCGACCGTCCGCTGCACTCGGACAGCGGTCCGCTGTGCGCTCTGGCGCTCGCGTCTCTCGCGGTCTGCTGTGCGCTGTGGCGCTCGCGTCGCTCGCGGTCTGCTGTGCGCTGTGGCGCTCGCGTCTCTCGCGGTCTGCTGTGCGCTGTGGCGCTCGCGTCGCTCGCGGTCCGCTGAGGTCCCGCTGCCTGGATGGCGAGCCGACGTCCGCCGCAGCGCGCTCCACAGCCACCAGCTGTTTGGAGAGAGGCCCGACAGTGTCGCGTGAGTGTCGGGGGTGGGGGATGCAGGACTGATGCAGAGCTTAGCGTGTCCCGCTCGAGATCGGATGACGACGCGCGCTGCCTCTCGTCTCCCGCAGCCAGCTCTGCCCCGAGAGCGGCCTCCTGTACGACTTCATGTACGAGAAGCGCGACACAGGCCGATGGGTGCGCTGGATCGACACGGTCGACAAGGAGCAGCTGCAGATCCCGGCCAACGCCAAGGTAGGGCCCGCCGGGGCCGGCCTTCCCGGCTACCGCCGGAGCCAGCGGCCGGCCACCCGCGCCCGGCCGGCCGCCGCTGGGGATAGTCAGCCCGGCCAGAAAACCTGGCTGTTGTGGCAGCACGTACTCCGCGTGAGATGTTCAAAACGGCTTCCAATCCCAATGGCACGTCCTGGGCGGCCGTGACCGTTCATGACGTGACAGAGTCGGCTGACGCACTGCCAACGTGCGTGAGCGCGTCCGCAGCCGATCGCGGCCGACGCCGGCTAACCGGCGGCCCGGCCGCGCCCGGCGCCAGGTGAGCGAGCTGACCGTGGCCACGGACGAGACGGCGCGCCAGTCGTTCCTGCTCGACACGTACCTGGCGCACGGCGTGCCCGTGCTGATGGTGGGCCCCACCGGTACCGGCAAGTCGGCCATCACCAACAGCTTCCTGGCGCAGCTGCCGCGCGAGCGCTACGTGCTCAACATGATCAGCTTCTCGGCGCGCACTTCGGCCGGCCAGACGCAGGACATCGTCATGAGCAAGCTGGACAGGTGAGGGCGGCGCTGGGGACTGTGGTGACGTCCGGGCTGGCCAGGGGGCTGGGCGGTCAGTCCAGACGAGGAGGACAGGTGAGGAGGACAGGCGAGAGCGGCGCTGGGGACTGTGGTGACCTCCAGGCTGACCAGGGGGCTGGGCGGTCAGTCCAGACGAGGAGAACAGGTGAGAGATGGGCGTTCAGTCCAGACGAGGAGGACAGGTGAGAGATGGGCGTTCAGTCCAGACGAGGAGGACAGGTGAGAGATGGGCGTTCAGTCCAGACGAGGAGGACAGGTGAGAGATGGGCGTTCAGTCCAGACGAGGAGGACAGGTGAGAGATGGGCGTTCAGTCCAGACGAGGAGGACAGGTGAGAGATGGGCGTTCAGTCCAGACGAGGACAGGTGAGAGATGGGCGTTCAGTCCAGACGAGGAGGACAGGTGAGAGATGGGCGGTCAGTCCAGACGAGGAGGACAGGTGAGAGATGGGCGTTCAGTCCAGACGAGGAGGACAGGTGACGAGGACAGGTGAGAGCGAGACTGGCGGCTGTGGTCACGTCCGGGCTGGACATGTGGTCACGTCCGGGCTGGACATGTGGTCACGTCCGGGCTGGACATGTGGTCACGTCCGGGCTGGACATGTGGTCACGCCCGGGCTGGACATGTGGTCACGTCCGGGCTGGACATGTGGCCACGTCCGGGCTGTGGTCACGTCCGGGCTGTGGTCACGTCCGGGCTGCTCGTCCAGCCCAGGCGAGGAGGACAGCTGAGGAGGAGGCGCCAGTCAGGTGGGGCGCTGACGGGACCGGGGCCCGTTAGGCTGCGGCACAGCGGCGCGCGAGAGTATTGCCTCCACGCTGGACTGGCGAACAGTGAGCCGCAGCATGCCCACGGGGTCGCGCAGTACGCCGCAGGTGGCTGTCACAGCTGTAACGTCATGCAGAAAGGCGCGTCGCAGCTTGCCAGCCACATCGGTCTTGATGTTTGGCTGCTCACACCTGCTCTCCGGACGCCCTTGTCCAGCGCTCGCTGTCCTCGCTCAGCTTTCCTCTCATCATTTTTGCTGCCTGCCCGTCAGGCTGGGTTTGGCGCCTCACCGTTTCCCTTATTTGCCTGTCCGGCGTCTGTCTGAACCCGCCGTTTCCCCCTCTGGCCGCCAGGCGGCGGAAGGGCGTGTTCGGCCCCGTGATGGGCCGCAAGTGCGTCGTGTTCGTCGACGACCTCAACATGCCGCAGAAGGAGAAGTACGGCGCGCAGCCGCCGGTTGAGCTGCTGCGCCAGTGGATCGACCACGGCCACTGGTACGACAAGAAGGACACCTCCACGCTGAAGCTCATCGACGTGGTAAGTGGCAGCGCCGGCGCTGCTGGACAGGCTTGCGACCCCAGATACCGCGCGTCTATGTTGCTTTTCGGTCGTTCTGGTCGTGAATTCTCGCGCGGGTGGGGGTGGGGAGGAGAGTGGGCGAAGGGAGGACATTTTGAACCCCGAAGGTTTTCCCAGAATGACTTTCGGAGGCGGGGCTCAATCGTGCCAAGCTTTGCACAGCTGTGGCCAATTGAATAGCTGATCTTTTGGTGTACAAATTATATGTGCCTTGTAAGGTTGCTGATACATGGCGGGCCAAATGCAGGCCGTGGCTCTCAGCGAAAGGCATTCGTAGATAATCGTCCGACCTGATCGGGCATCGGAATGTGAGACAAAGCCATACAAGCCTGAAGTAGGTTCTTAGGCAAAGAAACATTTGAATTTAGAATCACAAATTCCATTGGCTTAAGGTCAGGTTTGAAGGCCGGGCCGAGGTCTAAACCAGCCCGTTTTTTACTCAAAAGATTGTTGTATGAGGTAGTTTCTGGTCCTCATTTCGAATCTATTACAGGAAACGCAACAGCCATATTGCATGGACATCTTAGAGGTCAGAGTAGGTCACTAACCTTAAATGACCCAGGTCGACATTTTGTTTCTAAAAGCATACCGCCTAGCGTAATTCTTGACACTTATTCAAATGACAAATTGGAAGCAATCCGTATTTTTTGGCACCCTGACCTGTAAAGGTCACACAAGGTCATTGACGTCAAAATGAAAACCAGTAGAGTTTGATCTTGTTTGACCTTATTTTACCGTAAGGTCTTGACCTAGGAACTACAAATTTTTGTCACAAGTGAGTTCACACACGGGCTAACTAACTCCGCGACTTCAGTGTCCCTAGCTCTCTTAGATTTTGAAATCTCAATGGATGAAATTGAGCCCCCGAGCCCGGGGTATTCAACCGGCCACCTGTGCGCGTGTTGAGCTTAGTTTAAACTGTTTGAGTCTGCGACGCCATAACATTTTCACCTGTCTCGTACCGACCTGAGCTGTCCATTTGAGATGTACGTAAGTGTAGGGTCGGGTTGGTTCTAGGCTGATCTACTATTTGAGGTGCGTGCTGTGACGTAAATGCTGGTAGCCCCCCGTGGCGTTCTAGTGACCCTGCTGATCTGTTGAGTTATGACATACCGACTTGGTATGTGATATCGGCATCGATATCGACATCGATATCGATATCGATATCCGGTGATATCTAATGATTGGTTAGCCCGTTGGTGAATAGCACTGGCACTTGATGGCTGTGGTGCGTTGCTCCGAAAGCCCGATCACCTCATTGTGTCGTATTTATTATTGTACATGACGCGGCAAGCAGGTAATTCTGCGGCGAGGGTTCTTCTGCGCGTAATCCTCCGCATACTTGGCGTTGCTGCGCACACCCTGACTGCTCTTCTGACCTGCGACCCCGCTCTGCTGAACGCTCACCCCAGCGGTGTCACCTGATCTCCGACCTCGCTCGCCGCCGCGTCTGACCTCCGACCCCGCTCTGCCGAACCCTGACCCCAGCGGTGCCCCCTGATCTCCGACCTCGCTCGCCGCCGCGTCTGACCCCTGACCTCTCTCGCTGTCCTAGCCGGCCACTCATGTCGGCCAGCCCGCGGTGCCCAAAACCACTCAACCGACCCCTGACCTGTGCCCTCGTCCCCTGACCTGACCTCTGGCCGTCCCCGTCAGCTGTTTGTGTCGGCCATGGGCCCTCCGGGCGGCGGCCGAAACGACGTGACGGGCCGGTTCGTGCGCCACTTGAACGTCATCGGCATCGACGAGTTCCGCGACGAGGTGCTCAACAAGATCTTCGGCGCCATCGTCGACTGGCACTTCGCCAAGGGCTTCGACACGGCAGTGGCCCGCTTCGGCAGGGTGAGGACGGCGGTGGGAGGGGGGGGGGGACCAACCAGGGGGGGGGGGACCACCAGACCAACATCACCCAGCAGGGCTGGGTGATGTTGGTCTGGGTGGGGGGTCTTTGAGATGTGGTGTAACAGCGTGGGAATGGCTGGTGTTGTGAGTCGGGCTGGGAGGGGCGTGTGGAGTCTGTGAGGGGCCCGGATGGTGACGAAGGGCACGGAGAGGCTAGGCGCCCGTAAAGCATGAACGAGGCAAGTGCCGACTGAATTAAAGACGCGGGTAGCTGATCCATCGCTCCACCTAGCCCGGCCCACTTTCTTAGAGACCAGTGACCGAGGTCTGACATACTGTCTGCCCCTCACCTTTGGTGGTCGTCTGGCCCGGCTTGTGACCCAGCTTCTGATGCTCTACTCCGACCACGCTGACCGCCCCACTACCCGCTCCACCACCAAGTCCACCGCGTGAACCTCATCATCTCCGCCCCGGCTTCCTGGCCCGCTCTTCGACACACTGGCTCATCTCACCCGTCCCGACCTGCTACGACCCCTGACCGACCCTGTGACCCGGCGTCCGGCCGCGCTCTGACCCCGCCAGACGCTGGTGGAGGCCACGCGGACGGTGTACGCGGCGATGGTGAGCACGTTCCTGCCGACGCCGGCCAAGTCGCACTACGTGTTCAACCTGCGTGACATGGCGCGTGTGATTCGGGGCGTGCTGCTGGTGCCGTGCGCCCAGCTGCCCGACGCCGCCAAGCTGGTCCGGCTCTGGGTGCACGAGGTGTACCGCGTCTTCTGCGACCGGCTGGTGGAGGACCAGGACAGGTCAGTCGTGGTCGGGTCCGGGTCAAGGAGTCAGGTCACCTGATGACCTGGCGTGCGGAGGTGGAGGATCAGGTCAGGTCGGTCGAGGTCAGGTCCGGGTCAGAGGGGGTTAGGTCACCTGGTGGCCTGGCGTGCTGGGATGGAGGGTCGCGTCAGGTCAGTCGGGGTCAGGCCCGGGTCATGGTGTTGGGTCACCTGGTGACACGGGTCACGGGTCTGTGGGGCCAGATCACGGGGCAAGCGGAGAATGCCAGAAGGTCTTTAACACACGCGTGAAAAGCTGGCTTCTGTCTGACGCAGCTAAGTACTGACAACGCTAGCGAAATAGGACTGGGTGAGCATTGGTTCTAGCCCAGTCAAGCCAGGTCCGAGCGTACCTTGCGTTTCCCGCCAAGATCAGGTAAGGCCAATGGCAGTCACAGACGCCCAGGTGGGCATCTGTACGTGTTACGGTAAACGACATCGAATCAGATCCTTCACGTCCCCTGCAGCCATTTCTCACTAGCTTTGAGAGACTGACACCGATCGTGGCCGTGTACCGGGCGCCAGCAGCGCACCGTTCAGAGGTTGGCTGGCCGTCGATCCGGCTGGATCAGGCTCCGGCAGCCGCGGGCCGGACGCGTGACCTCCGGGACAGCAGAGCACCCGCTCCACCCACCTCACCGGTCACGTGTGGGATCAGAGCGTGACCTCCGGGACGCAGAGCACCCGCTCCACCTACCACACGGTCACGTGTGGGATGAGAGCGTGACCTCCGGGACAGCAGAGCGCCCGCTCCACCCACCTCACCGGTCACGTGTGGGATCAGAGCGTGACCTCCGGGACAGCAGAGCACCCGCTCCACCCACCTCACCGGTCACGTGTGGGATCAGAGCGTGACCTCCGGGACAGCAGAGCACCCGCTCCACCCACCTCACCGGTCACGTGTGGGATCAGAGCGTGACCTCCGGGACAGCAGAGCACCCGCTCCACCCACCTCACCGGTCACGTGTGGGATCAGAGCGTGACCTCCGGGACAGCAGAGCACCCGCTCCACCCACCTCACCGGTCACGTGTGGGATCAGGACGTGACCTCCGGGACGGCAGAGCGCCCGCTCCACCTACCTCACCGGTCACGTGTGGGATCAGGGCGTGACCCCCCGGGACGGCAGAGCGCCCGCTCCACCCACCTCACCGGTCACGTGTGGGATCAGGGCGTGACCCCCCGGGACGGCAGAGCTCCCATTCCACCTACCTCACCGGTCACGTGTGGGATCAGGGCGTGACCTCCGGAACGGCAGGGCGCCCGCTTCACCCACCTCACCGGTCACGTGTGGGACCAGAGCGAGCGAGGGAGCTCCACCTGGCGGGCACGGGGTCTCGCACTGGACAACCTCAGGTGCGGGCTGCTTCAGACGGGCTGCAGGGGATGTCGGAGGACATTGCGCTCCGTGATAGGCAGGAGGCATGTTTAGATTTTTGAGCGAACGCCTCAGCAGACTACGGCTGGGATAGGGGATTTCGTGGCCGGAGATAAGCTTGAGGCGTAGTGGAAACATGTGCATTACCGCTTTATGAGCATTCATACACCACATTCGTATGCACACATTCGTTTTATTCATTCTTTCTTGTTCGCTTACCTTCTCACTCTTAGCGATTGATATTGGCCGAAAAAGCTCAACGCAAGTTAAAAGTACACGGCTGAGACGCGTTCACAAGCTGTCCCATTTGTAAAACACAGCGATCATCGTCACAAAGCTATGATGAGCTCGGCGTGCTGGTCTGTTACACAGAACGGCCACACACCGCTAGATGAAACTGTAAAGCGGGCTGTACAGCATCCTTCAGCGTGAGATGCCCACTGCGCATCTGCGTTCGTTATGCAGTCCCGCTGACCAGCTGGAGAACATTTGTATCCTGCTCCGTTGTGCTGTTGTCCGCTCGTGACATTTGGCGTGTCTCGTTCGCCTTCTTGCGCTTGGACCAGAACGGTGACGATACAAGTGGCTTCGTCTCACTTTGCCGATGTACGTCGTGTTACTGACGCTCCCAGACTAGTGAGGGGCGCAGCGAACCACTGGCACCCGTTAAACTGACTCCCGTAAGGGTGTAAACTGACACTGAGGGGTGTAATGAGCTACCGACACTCCTACAGACCACGGAAGGGCGCGTCACACCGCTCCAGGTGATCCATATGCCGCTGCGGCTTGTCGAACCGGCTGCCGCAGAACAGACAGCGGTAACGGGGCACGCGCGGCCCCGGGGGTGATGCCGGCGGCGGCGGCCAGGCCGGCTCCGGCAGGCGCAGGTCGGCGGCCGGCTCCAGCGGAGGCCCGGCCGGCGCCACCGGCGGCCCGGCCAGCCGCGTCCACCGGCTGACCGGCGACGTCGGCCCGATCAGATGGAACCCCGGCCGGCGCCGCGGCCGCACGCGCCGCCCGCGCCCGTCCGATCGGCCCGCGTTGGGCTCCAGCGAGTCATGGCTGGCGTTCGCCGCGCCCGGCGGGCTGGGCGCCTTGTGCGGGCCGCCGGCAGCTGACTGCTCGCCGTGGGCTGGCGCGGGGTCGGCGGGGTCGGCTCCTCGTCCCGCTGCGCCGTTCGACAGGCCGGCCGGCTGCGCACCGGTGACCGGGCGCGCCTTCTCTGTCGGCGCGCCGGGACGGCCGCCGACAGCGCCGGCGTGTGTCGGTGTGGTGCTGGCGGCGCCTCGCTGCCCTTCTGTCTCTGGACGTCCCGCTGCAGCCTGCTGACGGTCACTGGCGTCGTCCGTCGCACCAGCCGGCCGTTGTCCCGGACCGTCCGACGTCCGGTCCGGTCCGTCCGGCGGGCGTGCGGCGGAAGCCGCGTCCGGCGCGTGGCTCGGGACCGTTGCCGGCCGCCTCCGCCGCTGCCTCCTCACGCCCCAGTGCGGGTCCCGCCCCCGCGAACGCGGCGTGCAGTGGAAGGACGCTGACCCGCTCCAAGGCATCCGCGGGACCCTGACGCCCGCCAGTGGAGCTCCCGGGCTCGCTTGAGGCCGTGGCCCGCCGGCGGGAGGGCCAAGTCCGCCAAGGGACCTCCTGCAGCACGCCTCCGGCCCAGGCAGGTCGGGTGGGCCAGACGCAGCCTCCAGCGAGATGGGGTCGACCGCGCAGAGGTCTCCCGCCTCGTCGCGGCCCCACCTAGCGGCGGGGCAGCCGCGCCAGATCTTGAGCGCCAGTTCGCTGACGGCGCAGAGCGAGGCGGCCGGCTCCGGGTGAACGCTGGCAGGCCGGCCGCCCTCGCGGCTACAACGCGACGGACCGGCGACGGCTGCACGGCGGGAGGAGGAGGCGACCGGGGCGGGGCATGGGGCGAGACGGGCGGTGGGGAGGGAGCTGCCCGGAGGGCAGAGGCACCACTCGGGCGTCGCCGCGCACCCGTCGCCGTGCCAGCTGCGGCTGGCCCTGTCGTGGCCGTCGAGGTCGGTGTAGACGTCTAAAGCGGGCCGCTTGGTGTTTATCTCGCCGGCGCTGCTGTTGTCGGTGATGGGAGATGTTGTGGAGTGGAACTGCGTCAAGTCGCCGCCGCTCCACGCGTCCGCCTTCCCCAAGTCCACCAGCTCTTCGGTTCTGGACAGCGGCTCCAGCCAGTCGGCACCGTCAGCCAGACCCAGCTCCACTGCCACCTTCCAGTCGTTATCGTCGGACACCGCGGACTCGTATGCCAATGCGGCGTTCTTTCTACCAGCGGGCAGTTCCAGCTGGGCTGGCGCTGGGGCCGCCGCAGCAGTGGGGCGGAACCCGGCCGCGAGCCGCCGTGTCACTAGGCCCACGGCCGCGCCAGTGGAGGCTCGGAGCCGCTGTCGCGGGACCGGCGCGCTCGCGGGCGGCTGGCGCCGGCACCGAGGCTGTCCTGCGTCACGGGCGTGGAGCTCACCGAGGTCCTGCTGCGACCAGCGCACCGGGAACCGATGCCGCGCGCCGCGCCAGCCGCCGCCTGCCGCCGGCGCGAGCCGCTGCTGCTGCTGCGGCGGCGGCGGCTCTCCGGGCGTCCGCTACCGCCCGCCGTCCGAGAACGATTGGCTCGAAGGCGCTCGGCGGTCGCCGGCCGTCCAGCGGAGGTCGCGCCCGCGGCAGACCGACTTTGCCCATCCGACGCTGGCCCGCCGCAGACGACGCAGAGCTGTGCGCGAGCCGCAGCAGCGCTTCGGCCACGGCGCTGTTGGGCCGCGCGGCGCCGGAATCGCGGCCGTGGCCGTTCTCGGGCGGTGGCTGCCCCGCGGACCCGCTCTGCCCGGGGGCTACGAAACACCGCCGGTAGGTGGCAGGAGGAACGCCCGGGCCTAGTTGTTTTCGTGGTCGACAGATGGCGGTGAACGGGCCGACGGGCGTCACCGTGCCAGCAGCCCCGCCTTGCCGCGGTTGAGCGTGCGCGGGCACGGACGACAGTTGTGTGGTTTTCATCGACGCGAAGTACAACGCCGGCTTTCCCGCGGGCGGACAGACCGGTGACGTCCGAACTGCCGCCGATGACGTCATCAGCGGAGCCCGCGGCGACCGGTCGCGGTGCCGCCGGCGGTGCGGCGGGCGGGTCCGGTGGGCGGCTTCCCGCCGACCGCCGCGGCCCAGGCGCGGCTGATCTCCGACCTGACCCCGGGGTCGACCTGTCGGCCCTGGCGGTCGGCTCACTGCCCCTGGTGGCCCCATCCGTGAGGCTCGATTCGCCGTGCCAGGCGGCGGCACCGTCCCGGCTGGCGGCGCACCGGACACGCCCCGGCCGCGGACCGCCGCTGGAGGAGAGGGTGCGGGGCCGGCCGCCGCCCCGGTTGGCTGGGGGTGGCCGGCCGTCTCACCGGCCGTCCCCCGTTTGCTGGCGGGCTGGCGCCGCCGGGGCGCGGCGGCGGCGGCCCCGCGCCCGCGGGCCGGCGCCCGCCCGCCGTCGAACCGCACCACGCTCATCAGAGCGCCGCCGCGGCTGCCGAGCTGCTGCTTACGTCTTCCGTGGCCGCTGGCCGAGCTGGGGGCGAGGGCGGTCACGGAGATCCGAGGCTTGACTGAAGG